TGTGACTCAGCTGCCCCGTCAGGCACTGGGATCTACCCCACACATTCGTCACCATGGAGGCAGGTGGGTCTGGGCAGTTGTTCCCCTGCTACAGGCTCAGAAACCCAGGGTGCCAGCCACAGAGCCACACCCTGAGGCCCAGACTCAGCCAGGAGCCCAGGAGGCTCTGCCACTCAGCCCAGCCCCCAGGGGCCAAGGAAACAGCCCAGCAGATGAGTGACCACAGGCCACTGCTCAGCCCAGAGAAGTGCAGAGAAGTGGTGTGTCCATCTACAGAGCTACAGAGACCAGTCCCAGAGGTCACAGTCAACTGCAGAGTTCGGACCAGAGTGAGGGGAAAAGGAGACACACACTCTGGATGACGAAAGCCTCCGCAGCGCATCGTCAGTTTGCACCTCCTTTCGTCCCTGTAAAAGACATATCTTGTACCCGAGTCCTCCAAGACAGAGCTTGAGGACAACAGCCCCTCTTCCAGGAGGCCAGCCCTTGAAATCACCTGATTTTCTTCCCACCAACTCTCATCTCCCAGGTGTTGGCTTACAAGTGGTGAGTGGTGAACCCTCAGTCTGTTAATAAGGCTTCAGGACACAGGGAGCAGAAGGGATCCCCAGGCCAGATAACTCGACCAGCAGATCAAGACCCTTCAGATGGGCATGTCCTTCAGATGGGAACTCTGGAGTGAGCATCTTTCCCGGTGGCATCCTGAGAGTGTGGGACGTGGCTCTAGAATAAAGTCTGCTGCTCCCCAAAGAAAGGGCTGGGTGGTGGCCCAGAACAGTGACAATAATAAACGGCACTTACAATACTCAGTGCTTAAAATCTAACGGCTTCCTTTACTCTCTTAAGGCACTTTTACCATCCTCCTTTGAAAAGTTATGAGAAGGAAGCACACGGTCTTCTACACGAGGATGGTACTAGAATTGAGGTGGAGATGGACAAGCTCAGGCCTGGGACAGCTGCGAGCGAGTCTGCATTGCACTATCCCTTATATGCTGTCTCTCCGTTAATCCCTGTGGGCTCTCGTTTAGCTCTTCAGAGTTTTTGGACTCTTCATCTCCGTATTGTAGCCTACATAACGAGCCTTAGAGAAAGTAGCCACTGGCTGAAGGTACTTATCAAGGACTTGAGCCTAGTTGCGTCTCACCCACTCCACTGAGATAAAACTCTGAGCAAGGCTCACAGGAGACTCTCGAAGCCACACATTTTGCTGAGGACAGACTTCACAGTGTGTGCAACTTACATTCTGGCCTTGACCCTACTACTTTTATCTCCCCCTACAGGCACGGAGACTGAGGCCCAGAGGAACTGTGACCTCTGGTGCCAGGACCCAAGTCCTCAGTGTCCATCCACTTTCCCTCATGGCCCTTGAAGACCCAGATGGGGGTGACTGGGAGACGGAGGACAGCAGTCTGAGACCAGGGTGGGGGTCGGAGAGGTAGCAGAGGTGGCTTTATATCTCATGGTAGCTCATCCTGGAGATAAAGTAGCCCTGCCTGGAAAGCCAGCCTGGAGCCCTTAGCTGCAGGCTCACGGACCCTTCCAGGAACCAGAGCTGCCGGCTCTGAAAGTGCACCCTCGCCCGGGTTATCTCCCAGGGTTGCGGAGAGGACCATCTGCTAGTTCCAGAGTGCAGCTGGCTCCTGCAGGGCTGAGGTCTTAGCTCTGTCTGCGTGGAACTGCCAAGCTCATTAAAACCACCTAAGCTGGTGCCAGCCCAGGAGCTCGGTGTCCACTGCTCTGACCTCCCTAGCATAGCACAGATCAGGCTGGCAGAGGGGAGGCGAGTATCACTGGAGTCCAGCTCTCAAAGAGCTGGGGGCATGGGAAGAAGAGCTCCTGAGTTATGACAAAATGTGCCCTCCTATCCAGTGGGAGAAAGAAAGACAGCCAGATGCTCTTCTGAACACTTCCCCATACCAAATCCCTTACTGCTCATGACAGCTCCCCGAAGAAAATGTAATCACTAGCCAGTTTACAGATGAGGAAACTGAGGCATAAACCCCGATGCCCACCCAGCCAGAGATGAACGACTTCAAGGTTCTTTCTAGGCAAGTTGGCCTTGCTGTCTCTCTGGGTCCTGTTGTCCTAGGAAAACATGGGCTTGGCAGTGGCAGGGAAGGGGCACAAGACAAGGGCTCGTGTCCTCTGGCACCCAGCACAGTGCCCAGCCCAGCCAAGGAGCCTCATCCCTCTGGGAGAGGCAAAAGGACCCCCAGACTCTGTGCGTTTCTCCTTGCCTCAGTGTCCTCATCTCTAAAGTGGGCATGGTGTGCTAATCACAGAGACCAGCACCCAGCAGAATCTGAGATCACAGAAGGAGCAGAATTATTCCAGCCCAGGCTGAACCACCAAGGAATCCTGGAGACTCTGGAGCCTGGGGAGGCGTCTCAGCCTACCTCATGCCAGTGCCAGCCTGCAGGGGAGTGGGCAGAGTGTATCCCCTCACCCCAGCAGCCCAGGCCTGGCCCCAAAATCTGCAAGACTCCCCAAGGGCTTCCAGGAGCCCCAGCTGGGGCAGGAGGACCTGGGCATGGAACAAGGGATGGCTCAGGGGAAAGCAGGCTGGGAGGTGGAGGCCAGCCAGGCCACCCCACTCATTTGAGAGGCCCCTTTGTGCCCGCCCTGCCCCACCCCCATTTGCCATCTGCCTCGTCCCTGGAGTCTGGTCACCCTCGGCTGCCGGGTGTGCTCACATGATGCCCCCATCTGCTGTGAGTCAGAAGGCGGGGTCCACACAGCCACCCCAAGGACAGGGATGGGGAGGCAGCACAGGGGTCCAGGTCTGGGTGGACACATGTCCCCAGTCGCCCCTCCTCCACCTCCCACTGCTTCCTCTGTGGCCTCTCCCAGAGCCCTGCCCCTTCCCCTGCCACCTTGAAGCCCACTCTGGATCCCTGAAACAGGCACAGTGCCCACCACACACGTGCGACTTCTGCCGAGGATGGAGCGACCCGTTTCACAGTTGTCCCTTCCCGCTCTCCCTTCTGCCTGTGTCATGCTCAGAAGGCCACTCGCACAACACACGAGGCCACTGCCCAGCTCTGGCTCCCTGCCCTTCCTCAAGGCTGGGCTGCCACCTCCCTCTTCCCCCTCAGCCAGGACCTGTTCCAAAGCTCAGGCCTCAACCCACAGCACAGCCCACCCTGCCCTCCCCTCCTGCTGGGCACCCACCTGACCTGGCTACAGCCACTCCTCAGTCCTCCCCCATGGCTCCCCCTGCAGAGCAGACTGGGACTCGCCAGCCTGGCACCAAATCCCCTCCAGAGGCCATGCTGACCTCCAATGCCATCACCATCCAGTGCCCTCCAGCTCTCATCATTCCCGAGCCATTTGCCCAGAATGCCCCAACCGAACTCCTACGCACATCGGACCTTGCTCCCCTCCCACTGTCATCAAGGCGCAGCCTGGGGGTCCTCAAGGAGAAGGTCAGAAGCGCCCTCCTTTTCCCAGAACTTGGGCAGCCTATCTCCCTCCTCAATCAAACTGACTTGTTTGTGTCCCTCACAAGATGAGGCTGTCACCTGGGGTGGACCGGCCCCTACCTAGAGCAGTCAAGTCACAGCACAATGCAAGCCGCACACACAGCCTCCCACTCACCAGCCACACCTGGAATCAGGGTTCTGCCCCACCAGGCATCCTCGGGGGCCAAGTCCCACCGCACATACCCATGTACCAATGGCATTAACTGAGGCCCAGGGCAGAGGTCAGACAAGTGGTGCTTTGGCCAGGGTGGGGCTGTACCTCAGGTACAAAGGGAAGTCAGGGCTGACACAAGACTTAGTCTCCCTCTAGGACAAGATGGGAAGAATCCACAGGCCTACCAGCTTGGTGCTGGGGGTACCCAGCAGTCTATGGCTCCTACTGACCATAGCTGCTCCTTCTCACAGTCTGATGCCAGGGAACCAACTCCATGATGCTGGGGACCTGTGGAGAGGGGGAAGGGACTGGGCTACCCACAAATTCCAACAAATCTTATTTGCCTGATTTACCGCCATGCTTCAGGCAGTGCGGCGCGCACAGTAGGCGCTCAGTAAATGTTCACATAAATAACTCTTTGCCTTCTAAAGGAAGCACAAAACTGATTTCTACCCACCTGCCTAATCCCGACCACAGCTGTTCCAGGTGGGGACAGGGGGACAAGAGGGGCCCTGCCTTGACTCATCCCAATCTACTTCAGTGAAATGAGGCCCCTGGGAGACCCTGAGGTCTGGTGCTGATAGGGAATGGGGAGGGTGAGAACCCTTGCTTTTCCCCTAGGAGAAAAGGGAGGAAAGCCCATCTGTCCCAAGCAGACGGCCACCCAAGTCTGGTGGTTCATGGCCCTCAGCCTGGCTTCCCATCTATCTGCCCTGGTTCCCAGAATTCTCACACCCTAGGTGCCTCCTGGTCAGACCTTGCTGCCAGGTAACAAAGACCTGAACTGCCCTGGCTTGACAGGGACCCCAACTGTGGCCCCCAAGACAGCTGTATGGGGAGCTGACTGCTCCCTACCCTGCCCCCTATGGCACCTCCTCCATCCTTGGACTGGCTGTGTGATCTCTCAGAGCCTCAGTTCTCCCATCTGTGCAATAAAAGCTGTGATTTCACAGCCCAGAGAGTAGCCCCAGCCTGCTCGGCCCAGGGACTATACCCCTCTGAGGCTCAGTTTCCCCAGCTACAAATGACCAGTGGCTCTGAAAGGCTCCACTCCTCCTGGACTCCTTCCCCTTCCCAGGCACCACCCTCTTTGAGCCCCCTATGCTCTACAGAGCCCTCCACAGCTGTGTTCCACTGGGCTCCAGCCCAGTGAGGTACTGAGACCCCCAGCTCCCCTTCCCTCTACCATCCTCACCCTCTGCATAAGAGGACAAGAACACACACGCACATACATACACACACACACACACACACACACACACACAACGCTCTTCCCACCTGCTCTCTCTCTGTCTCTCTCTCACACACACACACACACACACACACACACACACGCTCCTCCCACCTGCTGTCTGCCGCGTTCCGGCCAGGTAGCTGGTGTCAGTCGGGGGTCTTGTGAAGGACCAAGTGCCTGGACCACCTTGCCAGGTCCACCTCTGAGGCTCAACCTGCTACCTCCAGTCCTGCTGCCTGGGAGCACGACTGGCCAGCAAGCGTGGGAGGCCCGGGGCCCCTCTCCCGCCTCTCCTGCGGCAGGCAGAGCAGGGCGGCAGCCAGTGCGAAAGGAGTCGGGAGGAGCTGGCTGTGTTTGTGGGGCACCCCTCCTGCCCCAGCCGGGCTCCTCCTTCCTTGACTGGCTGGGCTGGGATGACAGGATTGACAGTGAGTCATGGATTTCTCAGAGGGAGGGGGGCAGAGCTGAGGCTATGACCCTGGGGGATGCCCATGACTCAGCACCGGGCAAAGGGAGACCTCAGCCTCCCCGACCCCCATCTAGGGATACAGCTACCGAACTTCAGGGTCAGATGTGGGCCAGGGGGACCCTGCCCCCTCACCCCAATCTGTTATTCCTTCGGGGCTGTTCTCCCTGAAGTTCCCACAGAGGCCAGGGTTGCCATGGCAACCCGCCACTCGATGCTGCCACTGGCCCCCCATTAGCCCTTCCTGAAGGAAAGTCCAGCCAGCCTGGCAGTGGTTAGGACCCGGTGCTGACCGGAAGGTGCGTCAGGAGGAAGGGGATTTCGTCAGTCTGGCGGGAGGCCATGCTCAAGTGACCACAGACTGAGAGTCCTTCTGAGCCAAGGAGCCCAAGTCATGGCTCCCCAGGCAAGTCTCTACCTTCCAAGACTCAACTTCTAGATCCTCAGAGCCTAGCGCCCTCTGGAAACGGCCTTCTTTAGTCTGTCTCCCAAGCCAAAGGGGAAACTGAGGCCCAAGTGAACGTCATTTCCAGTGGCTCCAAAAGCTCAGAGACGAATGTGGCAACAGGCTAATGTTCCGGTCCCTTCCTCTGTCACTGACAGATGCTCCCTCCCCTAGCTGAAGTTCACACCCCTCTAGAGCCTGGTGGGGAAGCTTTGGAGGACCTGACGCCGTAGAATGGGAATGACCATGTGCCGGCTTCCGTGCAACGTAGATAATGACTCCCAAGTCCTAACTGCTCAGAGGATTTCTCAACATAATGAGGGCAGAGACAACAACAGCAATAATAACAGTAATAAGAGCACCGATTACACTTAGCCACCATTTACTGTGTTCCAGCCTCTTCCCTCACTCCATCTCCTTAAGTACCCACCTTATAAATATTTCCCAGAAAGGTGGTAATGAAGAAGACAGAAATGAAACTCAGAGAAGAGAAGCAATTTGCCCACGGTCACACAGCTGGGAGGTGGAAGGTTCTCCTAACCATGCACAAATCAGCCTCCAGACAGGGAGGGTGCTTGGGAACTTAAGATTGCTTCCTTCCCCCTCTCCCATTGGGGTCTGCATTCTAGAAAGCCTGGCTAAGCTGCCCACAAAACATGCAGGCAGTGCCAGTGGACACTTTTCAGGCAGCCTAGGATGCCAGGTCTGCTGAAGGGGAGCTAAGCCCTTTACCAGCCTGGGCCAAATCAAGTGGCAAGCGGAGGAAGGGCAATAAAGCCACCCTTTGCGTACAGACATGGAGTACATGCCAGCGCCCCCCGAATTCCACTCTGTGCTCTTCAAAGTAACATCCCTGCTGTCCAGGCTGTGGCAGGTGCCCACTTGATGCCATAATGGGCACTTGGCCCATGTATCAGGGTCACAGTGGGTCCTGCCTTATTGCCAGGACATGAGAGATGGGCCTAAGTGGGGACTGGCAAAGCAGGGGGCAGAAGTGAGTTATCCAGGAAGGGATAGGTGTCCCTGACATGCCACAATGCTAGCAGGTTGCCACCTCTGAGCCTCAGTTTCCCCAAGGTTGATCTTTTGGGGCCCTGCCAGCTGGTAGCTGAGGCAGCCTCAGCTGTGTTCCACAGAGCTGCCAAATCGGAGGCTGTTGTTTAATAAGATGCCAGGGGGTCCAGTACTACCTGGTAAATCTTGACAAATCCTGGGCCTGACTCCAGACGCTCGAAGGAGCCATGGTAGGATGGGCAACGGAGTCCACCTGGGGCCTTGAAGAAAATGGACACAGAAGGGAGTGCTGGAGTAGGACCAGATCAGGGCTGGGAGTAGGGACACAGAGAGGGAGGATGTCAGAACTTTCCTTAAGCTCGGAGTGCATCCTGGGGTACAGATGTGGAAACAGGGAAGGCTTCCCTGGGGAACCACGAATGGGGGTGGCCCTGTGGCATGTGGGGGAGACTTGTGTCCCCCTGCTTCCAACAGCACTGGAGACTCTTGTAGGGCAGCAAAGGGCTCTGCTGGCCCACAGAAGGTCTGTCACTGGCCAGTGTTAGACGTGAGAGCACAGAAAGCTGAAGATGTCCTTTTATTTCAGGGACAGAGGAGAGGATGCAATGCTGCTGGAAGGTGGGGACCCAGACTCTGGACTCTGGCCCAGTGGTTTCCACTCCAGGCTCTGCCACCCAGGTGACTTGAGCAAGCGTCTCTCTCTACCCCTCATCCTTCATTGTCAGGTAAGGACATAAATAGCACTGCCTATTGGGTACATGCACAGGCCTGGCACAGAATAAACACCCTGAATGGCGTTGCCATTCAGACCAGGAAAGTTGACAGAGCATCAGTAACGTCATCATTACCATCAGGTCAGTGTAAGGGCCAAAGACCCATCCCCTTACACTTTGCAGAGCCCTCTGCCATCCATATCCTCTACAAAACAGGGATGCTTGGTCTACGTAGCACAAATGGAAACTGAGGCCAGAGGGAGGAGGACTCTCCCAAAGTCAGCAGCCTGTGAGCCAGAGGCAGGTTTCATGGCCAATGCTCTCAGCCACCTCCCTGCTCATTCCCGTGGGAAAGGTTCCTGCCCACAAGCGTGGGGGCAGCATAGCCCCGTGATAGCGCCGCTGTCTCCTACGCGCCTGCCCCAGGGCTCAGCAGGACGGCGGTGCCCATGTGACTCAGCCGCCCTCACAAAGGGAGCTGTGTGCCCTGTGCCCAGGCCCGCTTCCCCCACCAAGCCCCAGCCTCCAGCATGGAAGAGCAAGAAGCCTGATACAGCCAAGAGGCAGGATGGCGAGAGCCACTTTATTGGGCCAGTTGGTGGGGACTCAAGCCCAGGCTTGGGGTGCATAGAGCTGATGCCAGTTCCAGAGGTGGAACTGGAATAAAAGGCCTGGCAACAGAGCGGGGAGATGGCCCAGGTCCACTCTGGTGTCTGAGACCTTATTAGGAGCTCCAAGACAGTCTTCTTCCCAGTGGCTCCCTCGGGGGTGGGGCTGGCAGGTGCCCCGCCCACTCCAACCTGCCCTGCAGGTTTCAAAACACTGGTGCTTTTGGTCAGAGAGGAGGCACTCCCCAGATGCCCAGATGCCCTGCGGGGCCCCTGTGCCCACCCCTGGCAGCTGCCCTATCCTCTCTCTGCCTCTTCCCTGAGAGTTCCAGATTTGGAGCCCATGGGTCCCTGCTGCATACCTTTCCTGTGCCTTTTCTGTCACAGCCCTGCCAAGGAGACTTTGCCCCACTGGCCAGAGGAGACTGGAGCTCAGAGAGGCCAGAGGACAGCCTGGGTTCACACAGGTTTGGAGCCAGGATTTGATTTTCAGGACTGTTTCCTCCCCTGGTACCCTTTTTCTGGTCCAGTGGCATCTTGATCACAGGTCAACAAGAAGTGGCCTTGGACCTGCTGCACACAGTCTTCCTCCCCCATGATCACCTTGTTCCTACCCTGTGGGAAGGGGTCCAGTAAAAAAAATGCAGCTCCTTAGACAGGTTCGGGCTGGCTGGGCCGCCAAGAGCCACCCCCGCCGACCTCCCAGGAGGTGGGCATGCCTGGGTGCCCAGCTGCCGGAGACAAAGGTAGACAGGGGCATGGCCTATCTCTTCCTAAGCGTGATGGAATGTCTGACCTTCAGCCCAGCCCCCAGGGCACTTGACAGCCAGAACTGCCCTGGAAGGAAGGTCACTGGCCACGCCAAAGCCCCTGAGTTTCACCTTGAACAAGACTACTCCAGCCCAAATGCATGGTTGCCAGACTGGGCCCCTCACAGTGTGCAGGGTGGGGCGTCCAGGGGCCTGGGCTCCTCTGTGAGACTATATTAGGGGGTTGGGGCCAGGATGGGGCTTCTGAGACCACAGTGCAGCCCTTCCTCAGGTGGATTCTAGGGATCCGGCCAGTGCCCTGCTCAGAGTATCCTGCCTGGGGTCACTGAACCTCTCCTCACCCATCTGGATTCCTCCTGACATTGTCCCAAAGTCCCCAAGTAGCCCACTGTGGGATCTGACATCAGATGGTCCTAACTGACCCTTCTGAGCCTCAGTGTTCTCATGGGTGTGGTGGGGACACTGCCTATATCCAGGGTCCCTGGGAAGTGTGAGAGTTCACTGCCACCCTCCCATCTTGGGATTCAGCATCCTGGGTTCTCTTTTAAAGCACAAATGTCCCATGGGTGGGAGCAGAAGTGACTCTGACTCCTCTGTAGGAGCCCTTCTTCTGGGCGAGAGGACCCGTCCAGCATCCCCACCCAGGCCATCCCAGCTGCTGCTGGACAGTTGCGTCCCTTCTGTCAGTGGCTCCCTAGTCCTGGCTTGGGAGGTTTGAGTGGCAACTGCTTGACACCTGTCTTGGGCCAGGTGCCTCTGGCCAGGCAGTGAGGCATCGTCACACCTGTGCCATGGGTGCAAATGAGGCCCAGAGTGGCTCAGTGGCCACGCACAGATGGGACAGCATGTGAGATGGCAGGACTTGCTTCATTTTCCTGTGTATGTGTGTATGTGGGTGTGCACACACTCGTGTGTTTGCATTTTTGTTTTTGTGGTACTGGGGATTGAACCAGCCTAATGCATGCTAGACAAGCATTCTATCACTGAGCCTCATCCCTAGCCCTTTTGCCTTTATTTTTGAGATGGAGTCTTGTTAAATTTCCCAGGCTGGCTTTAAACTTGCAATCCTCCTGCCGCAGTTTCTCAAGTATCTGGGATTATAGGCATAAGCCACTATGGCAGGTAATTTGCTCTGTTTCACCTCCCACAGGGTCCTGAATCTCAGACACACACACACACACACACACACACACACACACGCCAGGGGTCAGGGGGAGTTGGTGCCCAGCACAGAATGTGGGCTGTGGGATTCTATTTTCTTAACTGGAAACAGGGCTGCTACACTTTTGGCAAAATAAAGAGCTAGAATTCTAACTATTTGTAAAAATCCCACAGAGCACCCAGCACCCCACCCCAGGAGACACCCCCAACACCTCCCAGAACCACAGCCTTCTGCAGTACCTCTGCCCTAGCAGCTGGGAGCCTCCAGGGTCTCCCCCTAAGTGCTGGGGCACAGATGGCGCGGGATGCATAATGGAGCAGTGAAGACAGCCACTCATTAGCAGGGACCACCTCACTCACAGAGGGAATATAGGGGCCCATTTCATTGCCCACATGCCCCCAGGGTGCCCAGTTGGTAGAGGCGG